AATAGCGAAATTATCGTTTAGTCGTGGCCAAGAAGTCGTCAAAAATTTTACAACTCCCCCCAATCCTTTCAAAATGGCGTATCTACCACCATTGCTATCATCGGACAGGATTCAAACCGATTTGAATAAATTATAATTACTTCGATTGTGTTTGCCGAAAAAATAAAGTGTAAGATCACTGTATTATTCACTGGATTCTCATGTAGAATAAAAAAATGGAGAGAATATAGTACATAAGTGGGTGAAATAGGTATTTTTCGAGGTATTCGAGGTCTTGGGCAATGAGAGAGTGAGACATACGGTTTTATCCGCGTACAGAGCACAAAGTACTTGGGGGACGTGGGTTCCTTGAGTGGTCTCAGGGGCTCCAGGGCATACGAAGAATTCATGAATACGAGATGATACTTGGGTTTTGTATGGTAGAGAGGGGCAAAGAGGGGGAGGCAATCTGCAGCTACCATAAAAGACAATTAGATTAAAGATTCGCCCGTGGACTTTATTCGATCACGCGATTATTCAGTTTTCGTTGGTTGCTAGGTACCACTTGGTGTTTCTCGTTTGCCAAAATATTTTCACTCAACGATTTTCAGTGAATCTTTTACCTCCTCTCTGTGGATTCTCGGGGAGACAGATTGGGCCCTTTTCAGGTGCTTTTCAGGTACTTGTGTATGTGCGTCAGAGAGATGACCACAGAGAAGAAAGGGGAGAAAGGGGTGCATGGCTGGTGGTTCTGATGGTACGGGAAATTCATGAATACGAGATTACCCCTTTTGTGCTTTCGGTGGGTGTTGCAGTTCTCTAGAGACTACGAGGGATAATGTCAAGGCATTTCAACCTTTTTTATCACGCCATCAAATTTTTAAAACTCGGAATTAATGGATATGGGTCTAGTTTATTCCATTTGCACTGGAAATTAATTTCACCAAAAATAAATATACGCCTGTATTTGCATGTGGCATTTTATTCAAATTCGTTAAGCACGTGATCCGTCATTTGAATTGGAGATGCAAATCAATTTTTTTTTCATCACTCGTCCGAATTTATCAGTGTGAAAAACGTGATGTCATTTCTGAAAGAGAATCCCTGGAGACTCATTCGGCAAAACCCACCGGACAATGCCCTCGTATACACGCACACCGGAATAACATATTCGATAAAAATAACGTCACTTTTCCGTAATGCCGGGATGAAATGTTGTAGAAAATTTCTCAGCCTTGTCAATGAATTTTTACCGAAATTCGCGGAAATTTAACAGAATTGTTGCGTAATTTGAACTGAATATTTCTGCAGGAGCTGGTTATCTCGCTGTATTTATCTTTCACGTGTCCACACATTCGTTTCCCCCAAATCCCTCACTTTCGGCCCCAGTCCCTCGTCATTCCACCTATATGCAACATCAGACTTGTCCTTTTCTGCTCCGAACCATCCGAAAATCGCTCATCGATCGCTCCCTTCAGTAATTGCCCGTTGGCCTCCTCTTTCACGTTTGAAAATCGCCAAATTGTTTGGGGAATTTACTCGTGGAGTTGACCAGCCCTGTCGTCCCTTTTTTTAATCCATTTTTTGTCTCCCAAAAAAAATGTTTTTTTTTTAAAACACCACAAGGCCGATCGATTCAGTCCCCAAAAGTCGTTGAAAAAAACGGCAAAATTCCTTGGGAAATCGTCGAAGCAGATTTCAACGAATTTCTTCGTTTGGAAAAAAGCAATTTCCTAACGTATGTAGTATCTGGAGGTAGAAAAATAAAATACCCGGGTGTAGTAAAAGGAAAAACCATTGGAGTATAAAAGCGTGAAGACGAGCGTCGGTATCACAGGGGATAGCACCGGGGGTTCCATTGGTGGGCGTAAGATCATTGTGATCCACGATCGCGAACCAGGATCATCCTTCACTTCCGATAGGATCACTTCTCCTTCACTCGATTTATACACTAACACTAGTGGGTTAACTCAGTGGGTGCCCGAGGCCTCAATGCCATCGACCGTTTTACACACGGAAACTCCACGAGTTTCGTCTTCTGACTCCTCCACAATTCCTCTTTACCTCTTAACAAGTCTCAATATGTGCAAGACATATTCTAGTATCTCACTGTGTCCGAGTAATTGAACATTACTTCCTTTATATTGATTTATAAAATTTATTTCTTCTCAAAAATTCATTCTTCTATCTGGGGTAACAGAATTTCGTTGGAAAATTTTAGAGAACCCTTTCGAAATTTCTTTGAGGTTTTGAAAAATCCAAATGTAGATAGTTTTGAAGAAAAAATTCATCAAATCGTTGAAGTTGTTTAGACTGAATTTCGCCTCTGCTAAAAGAATGTATTTTATCTTTTTTTTTTTTTTGAATTAACAACAATTTAAAATGTTTTTTTTCCCAGGATATCGGCTTTTAAGTTTGACTACTGGGACAGATACCTTATGAAATTCAGAAACCACTCTTGCTATCCCATTGGTATTCACTTTGCAATGTCCATCTATCCCTGGACGTTAACTCGATCCCCACCTGGGAAACATTCATATTCACATGTTCCCATATTCATCAGCACTGAAACCCATGGAGTGGGATTTATATCTCTGGAGTTCGCCGGGAGAAATAGGAAACTCGTTGATAGTACAGAGTGTCGATACAGAATGTACGGGGTAATTCTTGGTGAGCTATTGACCAGAGGGATAGAATCGATAGAAAAAAAAATTATTACCACCCGATCGTTCTTTCGACTAGCCGATTGCCTTCAAAACTCATTCCACGTTAGTGTGAAATATTGAAAATAGCCTCGGTGTTTCAAAATTGGTACTCTACGGTTTTTTGATTCTCCTATTAGACTCTTCCACTTGTACATTGGAAACATGTATATGTTCGTTTCAATTTATATTTTTTAATTAAAAAACTGGAGATTGATGCTGAAGTGTATAGAGTCAGTAGTTGACAATTGTCGAAATTATTATCGATTAGAGACAGGAGTAATTGCTTTGTTGAAGATCGATCAACCGTTGAGAAGTAATTCTCATTCATCCTAATTGTTCTAAAGAACTTACTAAAATATGTACGGAATTCAATCATCGATTTGGTTTTTCGAGAATAAACCTCCCCGATTCATCAATCTCTCTTTGGGGTATTTCCAGGCGTAATTAAAGAGACGGAAAATTTCATAAGAATCATCAATCATTGACCCGGAATTTTCATTTTCTTAAAAACGATTATATCTCGCCGTGGGGTTTCAATGGAAATCGATCAGTCTCCAGTGCACGAGTTTCCATTCATTCATGCTAATGAATGCGTAGAAAAATCGTCCAGTCACCGATAATCATGTGATAACAAAATATCTTGAGGGGCATATCTGAAGTAAACAAATAAAATACCACACGCCTAGTGAATGGATTACGAATGGAAAATATTGAACGCTGATAGCTCCTGGTATAAAAAACCAGTTAAAAACAGTTAACGATATTTATTTTAAGATGATGACGATCTTTTCAGTAATTTGGGGGATAAAATAAGTCAAATGAATTAAATCAGGTGTAATCACCGAATAAATAGGATGAAGTAACCGAGTATAACATATATACTTATATTAAGTATGAAGTATATATTTGTTTTAAAAAACCTGTTGGAAATCGCAGGCTAAAATTGTTTTTAAAAAAAAACATTTTACCGCACTCTCTCTAGGATATGACAGGATTTACGTTGAGAAAAAAATCTCGCACTTGAATAATAGTTTAAATAATTTAAAAAAAATGGCAATTGTGGAGCGTAAGTGGAGGCTGACAAAAGGGCGTGGACCCCGGCAACGGGGAAACACGGATGTTGGACCGTGGCTCCTTCCTCCGGTGCATCGCCCTCTCTCATACATACTTGTCCGCATATGTACAGAATACACACACGGAAAATTCAATCCGCAACTGCATACAAAGCTTTGGGGGGGAAAAAAATAATGGAAGAAAAAAAGAATCACAGGTGGAGAGAAGAAGTCGCACGGAGGAATCGAAAAAGGGGAATTATACGCGGCTCGGATGGCGATCGTTTCGTTAACCTCGGGCGAAAATGAAAGTCACCAGGCAACATTCGACCTCCTTCGGAATATTCCCTGTTGTATCATACAGGGAACTTGTAACCTCAGGTGAAGACAATCCATCAAGCCATTTCCAGGGTGCGGAAGTTGTTTTTCGGGGGACCCCTCGCGCGGTTAAAAATTATGACGAATATCAGTTTGTAAACTGAAATCGGTTATTTGTATGGCTTAATGTTGTGTTAATCGTGGTAAACGCCTGAATTCATTTAATTGATGTAAAAATTATTTTCAATTGATCATTTGGATCTTTTTGTCACTCTATTTTCGAAAAACGAAATAGATTATTCATTGAGAAATGAAATGTTTTAATTTGTGGGGTGGAATTATTTTGGTGGTTTTTGTATCAAATTTGAAACCCGAAAAGGTACGCGCGAAAATAAATATTGATCATTCCTCTTCGGTCATAATGCAGGAATTCTGTATTATATTCGTTCAATCATCTTTCTCATGTTTCTGAAGGGAATATCGTTAATCCCTCACCACAGGCCCCATTTCCCCGAGGTTCTACTAGAGAATTTTTCATCTCCATTGCAGTTCTTCATACATATTACTGCAATTCTATTCCAAGTGAATAGTATTTTTATTCGTGCACACCTCCACCGATAATCCCATGCAGCTACAACAATTCCCCAACAAATCATGCAAAAATAATTGAAAAACAACAGGTGCAAAGTGGACCGCGCAAAGATTACTTCTCAAGATTTAAAATAACGATAATATTGAAAAAAAAAACAAATTTTCATTACTACTGAAATATATCATTGAATATATAGATCAATTTTTGAATTAATGATTTTTTTTCAAGCGATAAAATTAAATTCAAATTCATTGATTTTGGTTTTTGAGTGGTCCATTTTGCGGCGATTTCCTTCAATACAATTTGACGAATAATAATAAACAATCATGCTATTAGTGAAGTGAGAACACGTACCCTGTACCAAGTGGCGACCTGCACATTGAAAAGTGGGAATCGGCATGGGTGTAGAAGCGGTGTCGGCGTTTAACCCCCGGAATAAGTCACCCCCAAACATTGTCGTGAAGAGTGCCAAAGGGTGAGAGGAGAATACGTGTGTCAGTGTGTTTAGGGCCGTATTCAACACACACAACACGGTGAAGGGTCGGACGATCGTGTTGATTTTTCACCGATCCACACGGACGACAGGCGTATCCGTTGCGGGTGATAGGATTTAAGCGAAAAAAAAAACAATAAAACAACACCATTGAGTGAAAAGTCATTCACAATCACATAATTATTATGAAAAATCAAATGGACATGTATTGAATAATTTTTGGACTGGCGAATACGGGGGATGAGGGGTGAAAAGTCAGTTGCGAGAATTACGCGATTTTTTCTCATTATTCTGTATTCATTTTTTTAAATATTATTTCTTCTAAATTCATAAAATCTTGTTTATAAATACTATTTTTTCTCTGGCGGCACTACATCGTTTATTATTGTTTCGTATATTGATGGATTTTCTCGCGATGATGTTCAGTGTCCTAACGTAAGGGAAGATTGTCAGCGTAATTCTCGATTTAATGACTCGAAAGGAGTTGAAATGGCTAGGAGGAAATACTCAGGAATTTCCGGTTATATCTCATCGAGGAAGAGGATGTAGGCATAAGTGATAATTTTTTTTCTTCGTTTACTGATGGAGTAATTGAAACGGGAAGTGGCGAAATGAATTTCGCCTGATGACGGGAGATAAAGGAAGAGGTAGATTTTCTTGATAAAAATGTGAAATAAGGGTTGTTCTAAATGTTGTGCTATACCTCCTGTGTCCCGGAAGGCAAGCATGTGGGACAGAAAAATGAGAAAACGCGTGAAACGTGAAAATTCATAATCTACAACTATCCTCTCCCTCATATTTCATCTGAGTTATTATAACGTTAACATGAGCATGAAGAGAACAGAAAAGCAAACAAGCCGCACTCAATATGCAGATTAATTGTTATTTAAATGTATCTGAATATTGATGTTTAATTTGAATTTCAATTTTTCTTATTCTTTTGAAGTTTGAATCTAAATTTAGCTCGAGTGAGACGAGATATAGACTGATATAATATCGAAAAACTAGCTTTAAAAAAAAAGAAAAGAAGAACATGGACTGGTATGAAAATTTGAGCGATCAAATTTATGATCTCACTTGAGATGCTGCTGGTGTCGTAGACTGAAAAAAAATCTATTAAATGATCTGCAACGTATATGAAGTTATTATGAAGCAGTAAATGGCACACGTATAGGTTGTTAGACAGTTTATCGATGAAAATGGCAACTGATATTATGGGATATAAGCGGATTGGACGAGGGGAAGGTCGTACCTTTGGTAAGGATGCCAGGCACTGCTGCTTAACATCCCACACGAGTTGATCCTTGGGGAATTGAAGACACTTGCTGACGTACAATTCGGGTACGTGAACACGAGCAAGTAGTACACCATCCTCAACGGGTCCAGCTTCGTTGGCTGAATCTTGGACCTGAGGTATTTGACACTGTCCACCTGTGATGCTCGTTGGTTGTCCAGTGGTGGGACAGATCCCTTGTTTTGGTCCCGACTCCATCGCCAACACCCCACGCCCACTTCCTCAACGATTAAATATTCTCTCTTTCTCACATCTGAAATTACAAAAATATCATTTCCTTAGACTTTTTTAATTTTACTAAACTCTCAACTTTTATCATTTTCTTTTGACAACTTTGTAAGGAATATTTATGGAATTAAGGAGCACGAGAACAAATAATCAATCAGTAGACCTATGTTAATTCTTTGAGTTACAGTTATTTAATAACTGTAATATTTAATAACAAGGGGTTTCACCATAGCAACGATTTTACTGCACTTTTTCTAACCTTTTGTGAATCTTTCGAAAAGTCGGGGAAAAAACGCAGTAAAACCGTCGCCCAGTGATGAAACTCAGGGAGTTATTGAATAATGAACCGCAGAAACGGTATATTTTTTCGCATCGTTCCAATTCCCGAAGTACTTAATTACTCAAATCCCCAAGTACGTCGGGTGAAAAATTCACGACAAATGACGAAATTCTCATAAAATTTCAGACAATTTTTCACGGAATGACATTTCCTCCGATAATTACGAAACTATACCCTACTTTTTTTAATTAGCAATATTTGAAGGGAAATTATCACATCACCCACGATAATTCCAGAAAAGTGAATGTACCACGTTGAGTAAGAATTGCGGCAACAATGCCCGTCAAATTACCACTGAATTTATAAATTTCAGATAAGTAACCGCTTTTTCAAAATTTTTCTTCAATTCATTTGAAATAATATTTATCGTTACATTGTTAATTCATTTTTTTTATCGTTTGCAGGAAAATAATCGAAAAAATAATCGAAAGAAGACTTTAATTGAATTTTCTAACAGCGGACTAGGCGCTAAAAAAATCAGAATAATAAAGAAATCGAAGGTGAATTTGAATATGTTAAGCAACGTTTCATGAGTACAAATAATGACTTTAATTTTAGCATGGCCATAATATAGTGGTTGGGTATAAAATAACTCACTCTGGGTTAAAAATTTTTTTCGTGAGAAATGCGCACAAGATCCTCAAACCTGTCCTGGCATGGGCAAAGTACACCGCCAAACAATAACTTATACGATGACGATATGAGTGTACACCGAACTTTCACTCGAAAGCTTCGAGGTAAGAATGGAGTAAAAAAAAAAAACGGATAAATACGACAGAGACATTGAGAATGCGGGTGTATACCCGACAGTGTCTGCATTAAAGTCTGAACGCATTCGTTCATGAGAGAGATTTCAATAGCATTGTACAATGCTCCACGTAACAGTGAGAATTTACTATTATGCGGGATAAATAGCTGTCCAGTGTTGAGTAAAGATGGAAATAAATGGCGGATGCGCTATCTAATCACGAGAGCACACATTATTAAAATTCTTCATTCAATCAACACAATGTGAGATTTCTATTATGCAAAAAATGGACAGTAATCGAATGACGGATAAGCTGTTATCAGTTCACACAGACCAACATTGAATAATTTCATCTTTCATTATTTCCTGAATTAATGAAAAAATGTATTTCGTTGTCATGTTTGTTGTTTCGTTGTTTATATCATGCCTCTTGTTTTTTTTATCGTTTTGTTTGTTGTCTTTACTGTCCCCGTGTTTCCGATTTCCTCATTCAAAGAGTCTTGGTGAATACTTGGGATTGAAACTAAAAGTAAATATTCTTCAACCGAAGTGAGAAATAGTTGGAGACTAAGGCTGTTAACGTCAATAATAGAAAAATCCATTATAACACATCTCCGTCATATCCCATGAAATTCTGGTTACAGCCGCCGGCATTGTTATTGACAATTAAAATTCTTCCTGTTCACACGAGTGTTATTATTCCGACTCTGTTCATTTCGTGAGAGTCACTTTGCGGAAAGAAATAATGTTGAAATAAGAAGTGTGTACTGAACAAAAGGATAACAATAAATCACTGTACACCGCGAGAAAAAAACCGTCAATCAAGTATTCAAGGGATTGTCTCCTGCTGAACAGCAACTAATTAAATATCATATTTATATTATTAATGATTAAATTTTTTTGCCATCTGCAAAAGGTTCAATCTCTCGCTATCACGCCGTAACGATAATCACACGACAAAAAGTGTCAAACAAAATGGATTTTCCCTTGCACCGCGGAAAATTCAGTTAATTACATGACTCATAGAGGTGGAGTAATAATTGATCATTCCGGGCGGCATGGTGAATTTAATCGACGGCAGTTAGAACGACACTCTAATTTTCCTGTAGCACATCCTTTAATCATTCATTCCCTCTACCCCATTCTCCCTCATTCAATCTGCATTCAGCCGTTTTTTCGGCTCTCCTCATTTTTTCGTTAATGCTCTACCTCTGGCCATGACAAAGCGCATCAAAGTGGGCAAAAAATATTCCCCTCCTTGGTACGTGTACACGTGTGCGTAAAGAAGATGAAGAGAAAATGTAAAGAGAAAAAAAAATTAAAGGAAGAAAAAAAATATGTGTGGCTTGGATAACGTCGGACGTGGATGCATCAGTGACAAGCAGTAAATCATAGTTTTACGGCTCGTCGTTTTATGTGGCCCTTATTCGCCATCGAAGAGAGGCCACTACGCAAAATTTCCTTCTCAGTTATTTCTCTACCTTTTTGCTGCTTTCCTTTTTTTTTTCTTTTTCCTTTCGTCTGATGGACACAACGTACCAGTGGTTCGAGTGCGTGGGCGTTGGTACCTTAACGTTCACCGGAGTAAGTGCTCTCAGGCTTCTCCACGAGGTTCATCCCCTTTTATATTCCTTTCCGTTTCGTTCATCATCATTTTCGTACTCACTCTAACCCATTGATATGCAGTACAACGGGTGGTGATGCCAATGTAATTAAAATCAAGGCCAGACGGCACTGAAAACCAGTCGAATAATAGTGAGAATGTTATTGCTGCTTTGCAATACACTTTTTTTGGCTTTTCCTATTTGCCCTCCCCTCCCCCTCCCCCTTCACTTTATTTCTACATCACGACCGCTTTTATTGTCCTGGGGATGAAAATTCCTTATTTGATTTACAACGCTCTAGGGGATGCCTGCGAAATATTTCTTCAACTAGTGAAAAAAATGATTAGTTCAGTCGTGATTCGTGGGGGATTGAATCTTAAAATAATTGTTGGTGAATAATGTCATTGGAAAAAAGCAATTGTAAAAAATTAAATATTATAATGGGGTTATATTGAAGAGGTCTTGGAAAACTTGAGTAAATATTTTCAGGGTTCAAGTGGTCAGGGTTTTCTTAGCTCTTGGACATAAAAGTTGTATGTTCTCGGGTGTCAAATAGTCATCCGGTGGGGTCTTTGGATGTGGATATTTCAATGGCATGTGGAAGGGAAGAAACACTCGGAGAGGACTTTGGTAAAACCGACGCCAAAGAGGATCGATTCCCCTTGCAAACGGCTTTGGTTGAATCTCGTTCCACTTTTTGTCTCTTGTCGAATGTGAAAACTTAAGGCTTTCAACAAATCTACAGCGATACTCAGAAGAGCCCACCGAGGGGTTAAAAAGGAATGAGAGAGAATATCAGAAATCCTCGGAATCACTTTTCCCGGATGGATGGTATTTCCTTCAGAAGCTTCTCCCCCCTATCTGGTATGTTGGCGTCGAAGATTCTCACCCTTCATCCCTTGAAAATGCGTGTTGATGGGCAAGATGGTGAAGGGAGAGTCTCATCCCTGATTCCTTACACATGCACAATCCACTCGTCTTTTGATACTTTGACAGCTCTGCGTGGTTACATTGAAATAAGACTCAGGCATTTCTCGAGTGTGTTTCTCAGTCTAAATCTACTTTTACTTTTGCTGGAGCATTGCTCCTAGTACTGCTCACCAACAGGTTTCTCTGGGATGATTCAATGGCTTCTCCATTGTTCATTCAGGTAACAATTTTTTTCATTTTCATTTCGAAGTTGTGGGTGGACACGTGAATATCAACCTCGAAAATTCCAAGAACATTAGCAGCATGATAAGATAAAATACATCAACATCGTGTACTCAACTTCAGATGATCTCGGTTGATAACGAATCGATTGATCATTGATAATTATAGTGAGTGACGAATTATGCCAGTTAGAAGATAAACGTTATCTCAACTAGGAATTTCTCATTTAATTTGGAGTAACGATTTCAAAGACTTCGGCTGGAATAGCTTCTTCCCTCAGTCAAATAATTCCTCGGAAATGTCAGATTTGATCGTTTTCAAATCCCACCGCTCTTCCCCTGCCCCTTCTTCCCATCGAAACATCCAATCTGACAATAATTCATGAGACTACCCTTTCCAGAGACCGACAAGCAGCAATGCGCGAAATTGCCTCGTTATATGTCTTTATTTCTGGAAGAGGGGAGTCCTTGGCCGAGGCACGTCGTCAGCTCCTTCTTCAGCTGCCCCTTATCCTATTTTTTTCTCCTCTCTCTATGCACCACCTACCATCTCCCCCCTTCAACCCCCTTCACTACATCTCACGTTTCCCTCCGAAATCCGATGATATTCCTTAAAATAATGTCTTTGTCCCAAGTTTGATGAATTAAGGAAGCGTAACGGATAAAGTTATCAATTTTTTAATTTGAATTTTGCATGCCCTTTTCAGAAGCTCCTTATCCATAAATTGCACAGGCGATACTGTGGTGGTGTTCCGTGGCCTCGACCACCTTTCCCTTCTTATCCACCTCCGTGTAATATCCTTACAATGCAACAGCGAACTCTTTAACAATTGGCACATTTTACCTCACGTGTGGATGTAATGGCCTCCAGGTAAATCTGAAGGAGCACCAGGGGCTACCTGATTTATTTTCAACGCAGTGAGTTTCTCCCACGAAAATATGTTGAACGAATTTCGCGGTCTCTCATTCTCACTCATTTAACATTCAACCGCAGATTGTCACTGCTATATTTCACATCGCCCTCGCTCCTTTCATCTTCATTTAACGTGGAAATTACATAATTCTGAAGGAAATAGAAATTGTGTCATTCTGGCATAATTTGTTGCTCCAGATCAGAATAAGAAAAGTAGATATACTTTTGTATTGGTTAAAAAGAATTCATTTTCTGAGGTCAGAGAAAAT